GGGATCTTCCTGGACCATGGCTTGAACCTGTGTCCCCTGCATTGGCAGGCAGATTCTTAACCACTGTGCCACCAGGGAAGCCCAGGTTCTCTCTATTTTCTATATCACTTTTAAACCAGCACAATATATGTTAATTACTATTATTGATATTATAAGGATTAAAGACAGAAAAACACGTATTACAGAAAGTGTGGGATAATAGAAAAAATTGCTGTTATCCTGTGTCTTAGCAAATCATTAAAATATTTGTATATTTCCTTAGACTTTTTCATAAATTATAATCAGTGTGCAAACAGATCTCATTTCTATCATTGATGTTACAAAAACAAATATGGTTTTCAGAATATTTTTATCTTCCTTGCAATGCTGAAGATTTTACTAGATGAGATAGGCTGTCTTTGGACATTTCTTCTGGAACTTTGCTGCTGTGTGTTGGGAGTTGATGTTGGTGTGAAATTTAGGAAGTGAATTGAGATATCTGGCTATGGACTCAAGAGAACCTAAATCTTGTCCTTAATGGGTCACTCTTCCCACCGAAGTGCCTGTATATAGGTGACTATATATAGGAAGAGGTCAAGGACAACTAATTCGTATAACCGGCTGGGGCTTTGGCTCAGTTCCCAATGCAATACTCTGATGGGCTAGGCCCTGTGTGAGGTGTTCATGTGACTTGGAACCAAGTCATCTGGTAACCTGCTTTATTTATTTCTCCTTTAGCTAGAGCCTAGAGCAGAGTTCTGGATCTTCTGTTCTAACAGGAGGAACAACCACACCTGCAAGAACCAGAGAGCAACCTGTCTCAGAGTCTAGAGAATTCACACAGGTAGCCCTCCCTGGACCTTTAGCTGTTTTGGGCCGAGAGCTTCCTTTTTATGTCTGACCAGACTTGGCGAGAGAGGAGAGAAGGCTGGCTCTTGGCCTTTCTAACTACCTCACTGCTCAGGCATTGAACCTCCTGGTGGAGGAGGAAGGAAAAGGCAGAGAGTTCCAATAGTTGGGAAGGAAAAGGAGAGTGAAATTACTGCTCAGGTTGCAAAGATTTCAAGCACATTGTGTCCCATTTCAAAGTGCAGGGTAAACAGTCAACCTAGATAGTGAGCAGCAGGTGTGACCCTATATGTAGATTAGTACTGTATGTAGATGTAGATTAGTACATGTATGTATGTAGATTAGTATGTAGATTAGTACTTCCTCCTTTTGGGACAGCTACATTATTTTTCCTTGAGTATCTTCAAACCAGAACTGGTCTCTTTCTTTTAATAAATTGCTAGCAAAAAAAAAAAGAGAACATGTTATTTTCCCATGAGATTGGATGTTTAAAAATCATTTTATACATTTTGTAGTGTTAAGGTGTGGCTGGGGGTGATAAAGGCACTGGCTTTGATGGATTGGCCCATTTAACAATGGGATACCACCTACCTTGAAAACACAATAGAAGTTCCATTTCCTATTGGTTCATCTTTACATATAAAGAACAACTTTCCTATGAAGAACTCAAGGGAATGTACTGAGAAATGTTGAACAATGACCTACTTGTTAAACTTCAATAGCAAACCAAGGGCCTGAGAGAAGTTGGAAAGGAATACAAAGCAGGAACTAAGAAACAAAAGGGAAGTGCAGTTGAGAGAGTCAAATCAGATTCCTACCAGGTACTAATGTGTTTCTGGTCTGTACTCTGTTCCAGTTACTACCTTTCAGTCTTTTGTAGGAAGAAATGCAGATGGTGTCAGTATGAGCATATTACCACCTGTGCAAACAATAAACAGCCAAAACACTATGAGGGGGATTTTACAGCATTTTTTAAATAAGGAAACTTCCTTAAGGGCTTTAGAAGTGATTTCATTTTTTTTTTTAATGTATTTATTTTTGGCTGCATTGGGTCTTCGTCGCTGCGTGCAGGCTTTCTCTCACTTCGGTGAGCAGGGGCTACTCTTCATTGTGGTGTGCGGGCTTCTCATTGCGGTGGCTTCTCTCGTTGCGGACCATAGGCTCTAGGCACGCAGGCTTCAGTAGTTGCAGCATGCGGGCTCAGTAGTTGTGGCTCGCGGGCTCTCGAGCGCAGGCTCAGTAGTTGTGGCTCACGGGCTTAGTTGCTCTGTGGCATGTGGGATTTTCCCGGACCAGGGCTTGAACCCGTGTCCCCTGCATTGGCAGGTGGATTTTTAACCACTGCACCACCAGGGAAGCCCTAGAAGTCATTTCTAATGTTCATATTCTACAGCTTGGAAAAGAGGCAACAGATGATTTTTTTCACTTTTTTTTTTTTTTGCGGTACGCGGGCCTCTCATTGCTGTGGCCTCTCCCATTGCGGAGCACAGGCTCTGGACGCGCAGGCTCAGCAGCTATGGCTCACAGGCCCAGCCGCTCCGCGGCATGTGGGATCTTCCCAGACTGGGTCACGAACCCTGTCCCCTGCATCGGCAGGCAGACTCTCAACCACTGCGCCACCAGGGAAGCCCTATTTTCACTTTTTAAAAAGAAATCTTGTTATGGATAGTATTAAATTGTCCAAGGTCTAGTCAGTGGTGGAGCTGGGTGGAGAAAGAAAGCCTATCGATTCCCAGATGAGAGCTCTGTCATATAGCAGGGTCTTGAATTGGAGAACCAAAAATGGCTATTTTAGTGATTAAAAGCAATATGACTTTACTTAGAGGCTAAAGAGGATGTTTTCTTCATATTGCTCTCACTACATGATAAACGAAGAAATCTAATTGTAAAAATAACTCTCTTATGAGGTGATATAAAAGAAATTCAACCAAGAAATATGGACAGGTGATAAGCAAAGAAATGCAAAGGAACATAAGAAAATATTTCTTTCTATATTTGTTTTAACCCATTGTATTTTGGCATAAAATGCAGTAATCCCCCTCACCACCCACCCCTACCCCCATCATAGTCAACCAATTGCCTCAGCACAATCTATTGATTAATTCTTCTTTTTAATGCTGTTATTTAATGCTGTTATTATAATATAACCCATATTATTCTTAATTCTTTTGCTCATTCAGTTTACATGTGGATTCTATCGGCAGTGTTTCAATTTTAATTCTTATATCCATATGAGTTTTAATTATCTTGCTGGACAAGTGCTCCCTCATTTCTCTTTTTCAAAATTTTGGCTAATCTACCCTGTTTATTATTTCAAATGAATCCAGAATTACTTTTCAAATTTCAAAATATCATTTTTCAGTTTTGATTATGATGGCATTAAACCAGTACAGTATTTTGGGAAGACCTGATAAAATTAAAATATTTGGTTTTCTTACCAAGGAACATTAACTGCCTATTTAGTAGAGTCTTTCTTCTATGTCCTTCAGTAAAATTAAAAAATTTATTCATGAAGTTTCAGCACATTTCTTGTTATGTTTATTCCTAGATATTTACTCCTTTAAATAAATTATACATGGAATTTTACCATTATGCTTTTGGTGTAAAGGAAGTTATTGGGGTTTTTTTTTGGTATTAATTTAAAAAATTTAAATGCCTTGCAGACCTCTATTATAATTCTAAACAGTTCTTTTAGTGCTTATGTTTTCTAGGTAGATAATCACATTTGCAAATAATGATGATATTCCAGAGGTATTTCTGCTTTATTATTTTATTTTATTTTCAAAGAACCTTGGCCTTGGGTTTTCTAAGAAATAAGTAAATTAGTTTTTCTAATTTATTACTTTCTGCTTTTATTTTCATTATTTTACCCTTATTTCTTGACACTCTTCTCTCCTTGGGTTCTGTGGAACTCTCTTCTCATTTTCCCAACTCTGTGATTGCTCTAGCTCCTCCTACCTCCCACCTGTGAGTGTCAGAAGACTGTCATTAGCCATTCTCTATTTGTATTTCTTGTTATCTTGGCTTTTGGTATTGATCCCAGAGCTTTCAAGATCTCAAGATTCACTTGTAATCATTGATAGCTGGCTCTGCTGAATAGCATAAGTTTTTCTTTTATATTGTGATAATACACATAAACATAAAGTTTACCATCTTAACAGTTTTTAAGTGTAAAGTTCAGTGACTAGCAACAGCTTTCTTATGTACTTGGTTATGACCAAGACTTCATAAAAGCGATTCAAAGTTGCTATTTTATTTATTCCTAGTCATTGGCCAGATCCTATCAGTTTTACCTTATATAGTATTTTCACTCGGCTGTTACCAAACCCAGGCCTTAGGCCTTGCAGACTCATACCTGCCCTCTCTCTATTCTTTCTCCCACTTAACATTAGTATGCCCCAAGCCCCAGAACCTATCAAGCCACTTTTCTGTTAAAAGTTTTTGAATGGTTTCCAGTAGCCCATAGAAAAAGTACAAACACTTGGCATTCAAGGCCTCCTGATCTCACTGCAGCCTACCTTGTGGCTGATCACCTCTCGCCCTTCATACACTCTGCTTTATTTCTTGTCAAACATTGAGGCAAGTGGGCTGGGTAAGAAATGGAGACACCTGGGACCAGCTGGAGAAGTAAAGGGAAATTGCTACCCTGCCACGAGAGTAGGGATTTGGGTCTTGAATTGCCAGAGCCTTAATTTTTTTTTTTTTACAGAGAAACTGCCAATCTGCATTTTTATATGAAAATCTCTCAATTTAAAATTGTTGGCTACGAATTAATATTTTTGAAAAACCCTGAGCAATTGGAAAACATGTTTGCAGGTAGGATCGAGGCCACATTTGACCTCTGTTCTCTCTTCTTGGCAGGGTTACTTTAGATTTTCTAGGCCTATGTGGAGTGTGGTCTCTCTTGCCTGGAATTGGGGCACTACATTATAGTCTAAAGAAACGTTAAAGTAAACCCAGTAGGGGTTTCGGAAACTCTCACTGTGAAAATGTTACTGATTTAAAGGTTTTTCATTATTCCTGTGAAAAGGCCAATAGTTGGACTTAAAATGATATAAACGAATACTACCCATCGTGCTTCAGCAAGCACAGTGAGTGCTCTACCATGAGAAGCTTTTTTGAGCTGGAATTTTGTTTATCAGTAGTTTTCATGTATGTATGTATAATATTAATTTACTGTTATTTCACAGGACAAATTAGTCCAGATGTCCACGATTTCTAAGCACTTTGGACTGAAATACAAAGAAGAATCGTACATCTTTAAAGAGCTTGAGAAAGTTCGCAAGGAGACTAAAAAGGAATTTCTCCGATTCAAGGAGAAGTTGGCCTCCAAGCCGGCTGTGGGTGAAGTCCCTGTTTTCGGCCTCCGGGTCCCCGGTCCGGCCCGGCATGGGGGGAAGTGGAGCGTTTCCCGCGCCAGACCCCAAAAGCCACCAGGCTCCCCTCGGGCCAAAGGCCGTGCGCCCCTCGCTGCGGCCCTCCCGCAGCCGGCGCCCCGAGGCGCAGCGCGGACCCCGGGCCCGAGCGAGGCGGCCGCTTCCGGGAAAACCCGGCCCTTCTGCCCCCAGGACTTCTACTTGCGGAGCTCCGCGTTCCTCCGGCACCGGCCCCAGAAGAAGCCGCCGGTCATCGCCTCCAGGGCGGGCACGTCCAGACCCGTGGTCCTGATGCCGCCACCTGCGCCCAGGGGGAAGGTCCGGGCGCACCAGGGCGCCAGGAGCCCACGGCCCGCGGGCTCCAAGCCGGTCCTCGACCCGGCCGGGGGCCGCGACGCGAGCCAGGAGCCGGCTCGGCTCGCGGAGGCCCGCAAGGCCAGAGAGAAGAAGGGCGGCTCCCTGTCCGGAGACGAGGGAGAGTCGGAGGCGGCCGGCCGGCGGAGTGAAGTGAGGATTCACACCCGCTTCCTGCGCGAGGGCTCGCGCGGCGAGTCGCGGGAAGCCCCCGTGTCGGTTTCCAAAACCGACCGCGAGAGCAATCCGCCGAGTGACGCGCGGGAGGCCGCACCGCAGGCCCCGCAGCCCGTGCGAGCGCTCCCGGCATCCATCGAGATCATCGCCTCGCTTCAGTCCGAGGCCCAGCTGGCCTCCGACCCGAGCATCAAAGAGCTCATCCAAAGCGTCCTCGGCCAGAACTACGACATTAAAATGGAAGTAGGTGACCCAAAAGGGGAGTAGTATTTCTCCTGGGTAAATGTAACTTAAGGATACAAACATAAAATAAGTGCATGTGGTGTGTTATAAGCTAGACAAAACGCTGGGGTGTTATTCAGGTTCTTTGAATTTTCCATCGAGGGAGTATATCCTCTTTAAAAAGTTAAAATAATTGAGAGTATATTTCAAAAACTGGTACAAAGAACATTAGTTTTTAGACCTGAGTAATGCATCACTGGTAACCTTTCCTCGAAGTCTTTGTGATTATTTAGTATTGATTTAGCAGATGTTTTATATGAAAGAGTCTTTTTCTGTACAGTTTATTATTATGAACAGTGAATCTATATCTTAAGAAGATCAGTATATTACTAATAAGTTGAATTTATAAGAGTTCTGTACTGTTTTCAGTGAAAACCGTTCTCTTAAAATATCTTTAAAAAATTTACTTTCTAGGTCTTCCCAATTGTAGAGACTATAAGTGATTATTTGTCCCAATGACAACCCCATCAGGTGGGTACCCATGAAAGCCCCATTTTACATAAGAGGCTTCCTGGCTTTCGTGAGGTTAAGAGGATTGGCTCACAGTCCTGCAACTAAGGCAGAGCAGAGCTGGGATTCCATCCCAGCCGGTCACACCCCAGAGAGTAGACTGGAACCATGCCAGGGCTGGCTATTTGTTGATTGTGATGTGTCCCCAGGAGGGAGCAAAGCTAGATAGGGTCATAGTTTAAGATATTTTGTTCATTATATAGACTTTGCCTTGACAGGGACCTTCAAAGTAAAAATAATAGCAGGGGAATCTGAGTCCTACACAGAAAGAGAGAGAGGGAGAGAGGGAGGGAAGAAGGGAAGGAGGAAAGGACAGAGAGAGAGAGAGAGAGAGAGTTTTTTTTTGGGAGAATGGCACTTAGGGGGGAAGAAGATTCTATTACTGTTCTTGGCTGCAGCTCCAAACCTCTTGTTAGTACACAGAACACTGCTGCCACATTATGTCTTTAAAATAGTTTCAGCCCAGAATATACTCTTGGCTGTGATTTAAGGAATGTGATCCTAAAGCCCATTAGGGAAACAAAAACGTGTAAGGACAAGAGTCCCCAGTGTCATCTTTGACCTAATGTTTGTCGGCAGAATGGGACAAATGTTTTCAGTTAAGACCCATACCTCGATACGGTTACTGAACAAGATCAGTGTGACTGCTCAGGCCGTTTCAAAATGGGTATTTCTAATTAGGTTTTCTGTGGGCCTAACAGAAAATGAATCAGGGATGCACACTGGAGAGCCTCAATGGAGAGAACAAAGCCTCATTGCCTGCCCCTGTGAGAAGAACTCTGTGACATAGTCAAGGCATGTGACATGAAGAGGGGCCTATATTAGAAGCTGGCTCGAGGTCCTGTACAGTTGGGGAAAGTTACACTTTTAGAGCAAGGCCCCATAGAGGAAGTACATTTTGAAGGGTTCAAATAGAATAGAATATAAGAAGGGAGTGTATCAGTGACGAATGGGCCCTGGGACAGTGAATTCTGTTCTTTCTGGTATTCCATTTCTCTTGTGTATCCTTTTTTGGTGCTACCTGCATTGTTTTATGTAGGAGAGTGGCCTGAAGGATTAGGGTCAGAAGCCAGGGTCACTAACTAGCCCCGCATTGTAAGACTTGGCCAGTTTCAAATGCCTCAGTCCCATACTGCCTTCCATTGTATTGATTTTTTTGTGTAGCTAGATTTTGTTCTTGCTTTTAAAACTTTGCCTCTGCCTGCCCCCCACCCAACAATTCCGGAAGATGGAGCTTTGCATTATCTTGGTTTCAGAAGTTTTATTAGGGTGAGAAAAGAACAATGGGGAATTTGTCGAAATGGCTGTGGCTGGGTAGGTAAGAGAAAGCAATGAGAATGCAAGTGTAAAAGTGGTATCTAAATTATGATATTAAAAATTCTTAAGATTACAATAAGGACACTTGTTTTAAACATTTGGAGTGTATATAAACAATGTTCTCTCCATGATAAGCAAGGAATATGGTTCTTTACTTTAGACATCTTAATTTGGAGCCAGTCCCTGGAGGGAAAGCCAAAGTATAAGACAGTCCTGGCAGGGTGTGCTGTCTCTGTTCAGAGTTTGGGCAGAGCCCTTTCAGACCTAGCATTCAGAGTTCCACAAACAATTACATAGGCCAAAAGGTGCACAGAATATCTAAAGATTAAACTCAGCTGTCAAATATAGGTCAAACATCTAAACCAGGGTTTCTCAACCTTGGCACTTAACTTTTTGTTTGAATAATCCTTCGTTGTGGGTGGCTGTCCTGTAATTGTAGGATGTTTAGAATTATCCCTGGCCTCTACCCAGTAGATGCCAGTAGTATGATCTTCTCGTCACCCTCCCCACCACCAAGTCATAACAATTGGAATATCTCTAGATGTTGCTGAATGAGACCCTGGGGAGAAGGGCAGAATCGCTCCCCTTTTAACCTCCCATCTAGTTAGGAACTACTGTCTTAAACAGTATGCATAGACTATGGCAGGAGGGATAGAAATGTTATAAGGTCCTTTGTTTGTTTTACTGAGGAGTTCAATACTATCACTCACAAAATACATTCTAATTATATGAGACTGAAGTTCAGAGACTACCTTCCAGATATTAATTGAGGATGAAGGAATCAGCCCATCCTGGCTTCTGTCATGTGTAGTTGTTTTTGACCATATAGCTCAAAAGAAAAATGGCTTAACATGACCCAGGTAAGAGGGAATTCATGTTCCAAGGTCTTCTTTAAACAAATAATGTATAGCTCACAAGCAAATGTTTTATCATAAAACTTATGTCTGCCTTTAACTTTAGGGAAGATGAAATAGATGTACTTTTCCCTCTTCTTCCTGCTAAGTACAACTAAGTACAAACCTTAGATGTTATTTATAAAACAAACATGAGAAGACTCCAAAAGGTAGAGAGAAGCAGACTGGCTAGGGACTTTGGGATCCAAGGAATCACATAACCTGATGAGTTCTCAGGTTTTCTTTTGGTCTCATGTCTGCCAGATTTGGAGCTAAAGAAGCTGGCAACCTAAGAATGCCAATGGGTGCAGACAGAAAAAGCCCCAGCAAAAGCCTGCTCTCTTTAGCTAAGGATCAAGAAAGGGGCAGCCTAGCAAGATGAAACTTTTAGACAGTAACTGTGCTACTTTAGTCAAACACCACAGAAAAACCTATGGCCCTATCCCCACCCCTGCCACCCAGGGCTGAGGGGGGAGCCTAAACTTCCACTCTTACCAGGCTGAAACAAGGTACCCCAACTCCTTCCCTAATGATGTGGTGTTAGTGGAGAGTCAAGCCTTTCAACACTGCCTGGCAGTAAAGAGGCTACCCTACCCACCCACCTCGCCCCCGTAGTGTCACTGGACACCTTGTAGGGAACGGTGATGAGAGACTTCTGTCCCTCCCCACCAGAATGGTATCAATAGAGGCCTAGTGGGGGCCAGAACTCCTACTCCCGCCCAGCAATAGCAGGGAGCCCCTTACCTCTGGTGCCAGTGGAGACCAAGCTGGGAATTTGGACCACTATCCCTACCTGGCAGTAATGAGGCAGCCTTGGCCCTCCTCCTACTGCCCCTACTAGAGCAGTTTCAGAGGAATGTTTAAATAAGATCCAGACTCTCATAATACCCCAAATGTCCAGGTTTCAATAGAAAATCACTTGTCATACCAAGAACTGAGAACATTTAGACTTGGAAGAAAAAAAGAATGAATACCAACATTGAGATGACTGCGATGTTAGAATTATCTGACAAAGATTTTAAAGAGGCCATCAAAAAAAAAAAAAAAAAGCCCCAATGAGCAGTAATAATGAGCACACTTGGAACAATGAGAAAAAGAGAAAGTCTTAGCAGAGAAATAGAAAGTCTCAGTAAAGAAACAGAACATATAAAGAGAACCAAAGAAAAATTTTAGAACTAAAAAATACAGTAATTGAAATAAAACTCAATGGATGGCTCAAAAATGGAACGGAGGGGAGACAGTGGAAAGAATCAGTGAACACAAGGATGGAACAATACAATTTTCTCAGTCTGAACAACAGAGAGACAATAGACTGGGGGAAAAAAAATAGAGCCTCAGGGACTTGTGGGACTATAACAGAAGATCTAACCTTCCTGCCATCAAAGTTCTGGAAAATGACAAAAGCCCAAACCAAAGAAACCCAAAGGAATCCACACCAAAACATGTAATAGTCAAACTTTTGAAAACTAAAGAAAAAGAAAAAGTCTTTGAAAGCAATGAGAGAGAAACAATGTGTTACGTATAGGGAAAAGCAACTTGAATGATGGAATTTCTCACTGGAAACCATGGAGGCCAGAAGGATTGGCACAGTATTTTCAAATGCTGAAAGAAAAGAACTGTCCACCCAAAATCCTGTATCTAGGCAAATTATCCTTCAAGAATGTAGGGAAAATCAAGACATTCTCAGATGAAGGAAAGCTAAGAGAATTTGTCACTTGCAGTCTTACCCTAAAAGGATGACTAAAGGAAGTTCTCTAAACAGAAAGGAATGATTAGAAGAAAGGACTTGGAACAAACACCAGGAATAAAGAAAGAATATAATAAGCAAAAACTATGGCTAAATACAATAGACATTCCTCCTCCTGAGCTTTTCAAATGTATTTGATGGTTGATGCTGAAATTATAATGCTGTTTGATGTGATTTTAAATGTATGTAGAGGAAATATTTCAGACAATTATAAATAGGGGAAGGTAAATAGATATAAAGGGAATATGGTTTCTATAGTTCACAGTAATTGGAAAATAACAATTCCAGTAGACTGTAATAAGTTATGTATATATAATGTACTATCTGGAGCAATGACCAAAAAAGCTATACAAAGAGATTCACTCAAAAAACATTATAGATAAATCAAAATAGAATTAAAAAATTTTAAGTAACCCACAGGAAGGCAGGTAAAAAGTAAACATAAGCAAAAAGCAGAGAATAAAAAGAAAACAAGGAATAAAGTAGCAGTTTCA